AAGACAGCACCCAAGCACTTCTGCCCCCAAACAACGTTCCATGTAACGGATCACCTGGCACCCCGACTGGGTACCTCTGTTGAAGAATGCTCCTAGCGCTTCCTGAGGACTCCAAGCACTCCAGTAGACACCATAACCATCGTAGACTCCTTCAGGTAGCAAAACAGGAACAAACTCTTATAACAGCTTAATGATTATAGCAAGAGAGTATGACGAGCATAGCAATCCCTTGTAGCAGATTCCCCCAATAAGAGATAGGACTCTAAATTGAGGGTGAAGTAGAACTGACTCCACTGAGCGTTAATTGCTGCTTTTATACATATTTTCCCACAAGGTTACCACCCACGTGGACCTTGTGGGGCACTGAAACTGGGAACTTAGCAAGCAATCAAATACAAATACATAGATAATCACGCGAACTTATTACAGCAAGAGTCCTCCCCTCTGCTTGTGAGATAATTGAGTTAATTACTGTATCAACTCAATTATCTCCAAGCTAAAAACATACTTTTATACAATTTCAATATACATTCAATTCTAATAAGACTTATATTTTCACAACAATCATAACTTGGGGACAAACATATCCAAAATTCACTTGAATCGGTTAAATGGTTCAGGAGATAGGTGGAAGTCCTATTTTGACCAACCGCACGCACATTTTCATGCCCAAAACAGTTCCAGAGATTCAGGCTGGGCGGCCGGTGTATTTCCAATATAAAAATAACTAAGTCCCATTCGAATGCACGAATGGGGCGCTGTTTGTGCAAATAGCCCAGTATAACTGTGCGTTCGAATCGTCGAACGCACTTAAGTTATTGCCGAAGCGTCGAAGTTGCAGAGAAGGTAAGGTTCAGTGGTGTTCGTGCCGTTTTGTAGCCGTTTTCAGTTCCATGAATTTGACAGCACACATCATGGACCGCGTTCGACTAAGTAAAGATGGCCGCCGCCACGTCGCAATTAACCTGCGATTAACCACCAGTACGAATGGCGGCCTCCCAGCGGTCGGCAATTAACCTAGTTTTTGCCGAGGCGTCGAAGTTGCAGAGAAGGTAAGGTTCAGTGGTGTTCGTGCCGTTTTGTAGCCGTTTTCAGTTCCATGAATTTGACAGCACACATCGCGGACAGCGTTCGACTAAGTAAAGATGGCCGCCGCCACGTTGCAATTAACCTGCGATTAATCACCAGTACGAATGGCGGACACCCAGCGGTCGGCAATTAACCTGCGATTAACCACCAGCCTGAGAGGTAAATTGCCTGCACACTTCCGCTTGCGTGTGGTCCCCCTGTTTGGTAATTGGTTCGGTAAGCCCCAATTACCGAACCATTTGAGAAAAGGACATTCACAAAGTATTTTAAAGGTCTGGGGCATTGTTTACAAAAGTCTCAATATGCCCATATACTGTG